ACCTGGAACTCGGTATATAGACCAGACTGGCCTTGAACTCACAGATATCCACCTTCCTCTGCCTCCCCAGTGATTGGGATTAAAGGTGTGCCCCACAAAGCCCAGCTCCAATATTTAGTCTTTTAAATCTCTGTTTGAGTATTTTGTTGTTGTATTTTTAAAAATTATTATGTGGGTGCATGCCACAGCACATGTGTGGCCATCAGAGGACAACTTTGTCACTTTCACCTGTATGGGGTTAGGGGTTGATTCAGGCCTGCACAGCAAATGCCTTTATCTGCTGAGTCATCCTCATTGGCTTTTTTTTTTTTTTTTGAGATAGCACCTTGCTCTGTAGCCCAGATAGGCCTCATACTAAAGGTCTTTCTGCCTTAGGCTCTGGAATGTTGGCATTACAGATATATAACCCCACATCTGACTTTATTATAGTTTGAAAACACTGACTAAACATCTAACCTTTTGACTGTTAATAGATGCAGACATTTATCAAAAAAGCACAGATACTGTCTCAGGTCCTTATAGACAAATCTGAACATCAGTGTTACTTTCAGTGGTTTACCAATGTATGGTCAGTAGAATCTTTAGGTTTGTGTATAAAGCCTGTTATTCTACTGAGACAGTATCTAAAAAGATGACTAGAAGTGATTAGTTTATGCTATTTTGAATATTTCAGAACTGAATGCATATTTGTAATATAGCTAATATCTTAGAAATCCTGGTTAATTTGGGAGAAGATGGAAGTGTATATTAATGATATATATGCATTACAGTGTGTGTGTGCATGCACATATGTGCTTGTGCATGTGCAGTCCTGGGGATTGCACCTAGGACCTCATGCATACTACGAAAGGATTCTACCACTGAAGTAGTATTATCTGTTTATTTATCTTTATTGGTAAAGTATCTTTTGCCTATTCTTAAAAAATATTTTATTTATTATTTTTATTTTATCTGTATGTATGTATTGCCTGCATGTAGGTAAGTACACCCGTGCCATGCAATGCCCGTGGAGGTCAGAAGAGGCTGTCGGATCCTCTGGGAGTGGAGTTACGGACAGTTGTTAGCTGCCATGTGGGTTCTGGGATTCGAACCCAGGTCTTCTGTGAGAACAACCAGTGTTCTTAACCTCTGAGCCATCAGAGGTTAAGAAAATTCTCCAGAGAATTTTCATAATGTAGAAAGTAGAACTCAGTAATTTAAAAATAGGCAAAAGAGAGGCTTAATAAAGAAGTCTGTGTGACTGGACTTGGTGGTGCACACCTTTAATCCCAACACTTGGCAGGTGGGAGGCAGGCAGAAATGTAATATTGAGGCCAGCCTGGTTTACATAGAGAGTTCTAGGCCAGCTGAGGCTACAGGGAGACCCTGTCTCACAAAAACAAAACAAAATAAGTCTGTGTTCTTTCCTGTAAGAGTGAATAGTCATGCATAGCAAAGAAGGATATTGTTTCATTTTTATCTCTGACATTAAAATGAAATGACTGATATCTCCAATGGTTTTATGTGTGTATATTTAGTGGTGAACGTGTATGTGTGTATATATATATATATATATTTCACCACTAAAATTGTTATCCTTATATTCATAATGTGGCATTGTTCATGTTTGGGGTATATTTGGATGTAGGTAGGAATTGCTAAATTTTGTGAGCAGCACTTTCATTTTCTTGAATAGTTTTCTCTGTAAATATGGTATTTAGCTTGATGTTGGCATTAAAAATTGTTAAATCTGGCAGGTGGATGGATCTCTGTGAGTTTAAGGCCAGCCTGGTCTACATAGTGAGTTCCAATCCAGCTGGGGCTACAGGGAGACCTTGTCTCAAAAAGATCAAAAATAAATAATTACTTAATTTAATTAAACAAAAAAGTTGTTGAATCTGCTTGATTCTGTCCTATTTTAGTAGTTAGTAGTTAAAGGAATAAATGACTATGTATCTTGTACCCTAAGTAGTAGCTGGTCATCAGAGTTGTAAAGAGATACACTATAAAAAGTTCAGATTCACAGAATTTGAGGTGGAAGATGGAATCATGGAAAGGAGAATTGAATGAGGAACACAATGACAGAATGTCCCTGTTCCTGGCATTAATCCAGACTCTACAGTCAGAAACAACTCTAATGGGAAGTGCTAACGGGCAGTGTGGCCTCCACAGTTCATTCTTTAAGTGGGCTTAATTGAAGTTTAGTCACATACAGTAAAGTGTACCCACTTTAACTTTCATTCAGTGATTTCTGAGAAATAAATGGAGTTCTATAACTACTACCCAGAATATTCCCATCACTGTCAAACTTCACTCTCCCTTTACAGGCATCCCTCAGTTCAGTTCTTTGCTGCAGAAACTCATAAGTTTGCATTTACCATTACAGATTAGTTTTGCCTTTTGGGGGATTTTATACAAATGGGATTAGATAGTATATACTGTTTTCTCTAGATTTTTTTTTGCTTCAGTATGTTTTAAACATCATTTTCTATTATGTATTAGCTTTTTTTTCTTTTTATATTGCTAAGTAGTATACCACTGACTTGATGTCATTCACTTACTGATAGGTATCTGAGTTATTTCATTTCTGTATGTTAAAAACAAACTATACAGGAAAGTGAACATTCCTAAATAGATGTTTGTGTGAACATAACTTTTTGGATTTCTTGGTACACTTAAAAAAAATAGAATTGCCAGGTCACATGAAAGGCAGTGTTTTCAAACTCACTATGTAGCCGAGAATGACCTTGAACTTCTGATCCTCCTGTCCCCATGAGGTCATAGATAGGTACCTCTTTGGTTTATACAGTGTTAGGGATCTAAGCCAGGGCTTTGTGTACACTAGGCAAGGATTCTTGTAACTGAGCTACATTTCCAGCCCTGATTTTTGTTTCTGTTTTACCAAACTTTTTGTTTGGGGTATGTGTGTATATCGAGAGAGAGATAAGAGGCCAACTTTCAGGAATTGATTCTCACTTCTTACCTTAACCCAGGGTCTCTAGTTTTTTTTGAAGAGTCTTTAAATTTTTTGATACATCCAACATGTGCTTTTTTCATTTGTGGATAATGCTAATGCTTTTTTGTATCTGGCCTGAGAGATCCTTCTTTCTACATGATTATGAGTTTCTTCAGAATTTTCTTATTAAATATTTGTAATTTGAATTTTTTCCTTTTCCTTTTTTTTTTTTTTTTTTTTTTTTTTTTTTTTTTTTTTCTTATTTTCTTATGATTTTTTTTATTAATTTTTTTTATTTTTATTTTTTTCTTTTTTTTTTTTTTTTTTTTTTTTTTTTTTTTTTTTTTGTCTTTTTGAGATAGGGTCTCTCTGTAGCCCTAGCTGGCCTGGAATTCACAAAGATCAGCCTGCCTCTGCCTCCAAGTGCTGGGATTAAAGGCATGTGCCACTGTGCTGGGCTATAGTTTGAATTTTTATGATAGGTTTTTGTTTTCAAAGCTAGGAGTTGAGCCCTGGCACATGCTGAGCAAGGAGTCTCTCACTAAACTGCATCCCCAGTCCTCTGACAACTCATTCCTTTTGCTTTCTTCCTATTCTCTCTTCTGCCCTGCCCTTTCCCTCCCCCTCCCATCCCTTCTTTTTTCTTCACTTCCCTTTCTTGATTTGTTCATTTGCCATTTCTAGTTAGTATTTGATATGAAGCAGGTAAATGTAGTTTCTTTAAAAAAACCCAAATATCACATTGTTCTAGAACTATTTGTCATGAAGATTATCCTTTTTCTTTGGTACCTTGTCAACAAGCATCTGACACAGTGCACTGAATGTTTGCACCTTTCTTCCATAGTCTTATGTTCTAACCCTTGACCTCAGTGCAATATAGTCAGGGAGAATGACCTTCAGTGTATGAGTGTATTGCCTGCATGTATGTAGGCACACCTGTGTCATGCAATGCCCTGGGCGGTCAGAAGAGGGCATTGGATTCCCCTGGAACTGGAGTTACAGAGAGTTGTTAGCCACTATGTGGATGCTGGGAATCGAACCCAGGCCCTCTGCAAGAACACAACAGTGCTCTTAACCGCTGAGCTCTCTCTCCAGTCCTATCACTGCATTTTTATGAGAGCCTCTCTGAAATTCTTGTCTGTTAATTCTAACATCTTGGTTATTTTTCGCATTGTTGTCTGTTGATTGTTGCTACTCAACCAAATAAAGATTTGTCTTGGTTTTTTGATGAGTATACATTTGGAATTGTTTCCTGGACATTTGAGTGTTTTGAAACTCCAATTCCTACCCGGATCTCTTTTACTAGTAGTTAGCCACTTGGGGAAGAGGAAGTCCTCCTCTTTGCTGATGTTCCTTGTATAGTAGGAATGGTCATTAGGGCTCACTGCATGGTCTCTGAGCTTGTAGGCTCTGATGAGAGGGGAAGGGTCACCACCTCTGTTCTCATTGGTTTAGGTTGTGAATGGTTAACAAGGCTCTGTCCCACAGATTACACAATATTTATTCAGTGGGAATGGTTTCAGCCTTCAGGACTACAGTCCCTTGTCCTTTGATTAGAGAAACTGGGTTTTTCTTGGCAATTTTGCTGTTGTTCTTCACTTGGTGGCAATTTCAAATTGTGAATTATTGTAGCATTCGGTGAAATACATCGGCAGCCAGAAATCTCTAAGAATTCATTGCTGGGTCGTCCCTCAAAACTAACATCTTTAGTCAATTTGCCTGTCTTTTTCACCTTTCATTTAGTCTTCTGGCAGGTGCCTTTGTCTTTGGGCCAGGCCTTTTTATTGCAATTAGAAATAGGATGGCCAGTTGTGACACACACCTTTAATCCCAGCATTCCAGAGGCAGAGGTAAGTAGATTTCTGTGAGTTCCAGGCCAATCTGGTCTACATGACCAGTTCTAAGCCAGCCATGGCTATATAGTGAGACCCTGCCCCCCCCCAAGAAAAAAAAACAAAAAACAAAAGAAAGAATAGGATGTTGTTTGGAACTAAAGTCTCTTGTTGAATATTAGTTTTGGTATTTTTTTATTTGATTAATTTGCCCTGTTTATTTTCTTTTTCAGGCAAATGAAGATAAAACGATGTCCTCAAACTTAAAATACCTATCCTTGGGAATTTTGGTCTTTCAGACTACCAGTTTAGTTCTAACCATGCGTTATTCCAGAACTTTAAAAGAGGAGGGCCCTCGTTATTTGTCTTCTACAGCGGTGGTTGTTGCTGAATTTCTGAAGATAATGGCCTGCATCCTTTTAGTCTACAAAGACAGTAGTAGGTATCTAGGGTTTTTGCTTTTAATTAATATATTTAGTTTAATTTACATATATGTAAATATATTTGTAACTACACATCTGTCTCTTGCATTATTTAATTACCCCAAACTTGAGAACATTTCAATATTTAAACAATTTTATTAAGACAGACATGGGGAGATAGCTCAGTCAATAAAGTGCTTGTTGTGCAAGTGTGACAACCTGGATTGGATCCTCAGCACACATATTAAAGCTGGATGTGTCAGGTTAGGCCTGTAATTCCCATGTTGGGAGGCAGAGATAGGAGGATCTCTGGGGCTGCTGGGGCTGGCCAGGCTACTTGACACGCTCTAGGTTCAGTAAGAGACCGTGTCTAAAATACAGTAGAGAGCCATTGAAAAGACAGTGTCGACAAGCAGCCTCTACACACATGTACACATATACACTTGTGCACACACAAAATTTTGTTGAGATTTTTTAATTTTTTTTGTGGTAGTTAACATTTTTTTTTTTTTAATTAGAAGAAGCATTTCATTACAACAGCATTAACCTTTTTCTGAGCTAGGGTACATCTCTTTCAAAATTGGCTGTACATTTTTAGGTTTACAGATGAATTATTACAGTTATACAATATTGTACTCAGTATAAACCCTATAAGACATAAGTTAAATGATGTTTTAACCTTTAAAAAGATCTCCATTTCATTATTAAAATACACAGTTTCATACAGAAAAATTCTTTTTCAATGCAATTGACATTGGATGTTTGCACATACATTTCTAATCTCTAAATATCTGATTATTACTAGTCACAGTTGGTTACTTTCTGAGCTTCTAGGCATCTGAGCATGGATATAAAGTCATCAGGCAGATCTCAATGGCAATGCCCCCCACATCTACCAATTATTGTTTTTTAATCATTATTTTTTTATTTTTTTTTTCATACAGAAGAATTCATTCCAAAGCAATTGACATTGAGACGTTTTCACATGCATTTCTAATCTCT